AAAGTTCATTTTCAAGAAACGTGTGGTGGATAAGAGTGTAGTGTTGTGAATCATGAGAAATGTAAATTAAAATTAAAATCTTAATTTGAAAGTAAATTTTTTGTTAAAAAATTGAAACAACGGAGGCTATATTGATGTCAATACAGTTCATTTCGATAATCATAAAAATATGTTTGTACAAGATATTAGTAGTGTTCTAAAAAACATAAGCCTTGATTAGACGACATACTAAGTTTCAAGTTTTTTCAAGCCTATTCATCAAATAGTATAAAGTGTGGTTTGACGGCAAGGTCAAAGCTTCACATCTAGGCATGCAACACTGAATATTATACATAATCCAAAAATATTAATGAAGAAAAGTAACTCAAAAACTTGTAAAGTACATTGGTAAAAGCTGTTTAGTCTCTTAAGTTCGGGAGAAATCTGGTTGTTTTCACAAAAAAATATTTCATTTGAAAGAAATTATTGGAGTTCGGCTTTTGTTTGTATTTGATTATATCCAGTTAGGTTTTCGAAGGAATGTGTGATGTTCAACACTTTTAGAGCATCTCTAACATTGAGATGGACTTTCCTAAAAATGTTGTTATGTACGTAAGCTAAAATAAATAATGTTCTTAATAGTTTCTTTCCAATGCAACATATCTAGGATTTTATCTAGATGGAAAAAGTAGACATTATCAGAGGACCATGTAAAATATAGAGATTGTTATGAAAATGTTAGTCACCATAGTATAATCTCTTTCTCTCTCTCTCTCTCTCTCATGTTTATTAGTATTTTTTTTCTCTTATTAAATATACACTAGAGATGTAATTTGAATTATAGATAGGATTAATTGGAAATGACTTTGAATTAGGTTGTGCTCTTATTAGACATTAATATCATGTAAATCGAAAGTCTTTCTATTTAGTTGTCAACAGACTCCAATCCCTGAAATGCATTGGTGCTCTTATGACGATTATGCATTAGATTATCATCAACCACACCAGACATTCCTTGAAAAAACAAAAGATAGTTTAACGAGTGATCAAAAAATTATTGACTGTTTGGAAACAAAATAAAATTTGACGACCAACGTGAAACTTCATTGTAAGTTGAGAGGCTAATCGCATTTTCAACCCTAAATCATAATGTCTTTTACTATTTAGTACTGTATGTAACAGGCATATCGTACCTTCAAAGGAATCAGGTAACGAATCTTCATGTATCTTTGAAAGATAGCCATGGAACTCAACTGCATAGCCTTGACAACAATGGTTGGCTTTCCATCCTCACCAGTCCATGGATTCTTGGTGAAGTAATGGAGTCCAAAATCTTGAAGAGAGCTATAAGAGACGGGGTTAGCCATAGAAGATCCAACATGGTAAATAATGTGAGTATCAGGTTCATCCGCATGAGCCACCATTGCTGCTATCATAGCATTCACCACCATGTCTGCTGGAATCTGCTTGCAAACAGGTATTGCATTCGAATATTGAACATCGAGAGAGCATTTAACCAAGTCATCTAAAAGTTTAAGTTAATGGAGGGATAAAATTATTTATTTAGTTATTTTTTACAATAAACATGTCTGTGAAACGTGCAAGCCTGCTAAAACATTTCGAATTAGTGCTAATATTGATTAGGCTTTTGATTTATTAAAACTGGTTTTACCAAATCTCAACAATATTTGAAATCTAATTTAGTTATTTAATTTTTATTATCATAATTGATTGATTGGACTTAGTGCACCTTAGGATTTAAGCCTACTTAAAAATCGACGTGTACAACCAAGGAGAAAGAGAAGGATAGTTTTGCCTTATGCAAGTGTACATGTTGTCTCGATTCAATTTGAGATTGTTTTGAAGCCTTGAAGAATCCATTATTTAGTCATAGTTCCAATGTTAAAGCATAATTTCAATCTCAATAATTACATGCTTTATAATTCCATCTAGTTTGGATCAAATATACTCTTATAATACTTTCACATTCAGCATGCTCCTCATCTAGACCCTATTCCTTTCTGGGTGGTGCTTCATTTATAGGGTACGGGTTCACAGACATCGTACCGAACACTCACAGCATCGAGAAGGGCGGGTGGGGGGTTTTTGGTATTTTTTTATATGATGTGGAGCCACTTGATGTGAGTGTTAGTAGGGGTTCTGTTCTGTAAACCCAACAAAAGTATAAACGATATTTAACATTTATATTTTCAGTTGTGAGACAATAAGAAAACTATACTAGGAGTATGCTATTGAATCTTTATTTGCAAAAATAAAAAACTAAATAAAATAAAATAAAAGTTACCATCGATACTCACCAAGTCTACTATGCTATGAGGATCTCCAGGAATGCATTTAATCCTTCCTTTACCATATCCAAGTACAAAGCTATCAATGTTTCTGTATGTACAAAGAAGACATGGGGACGAAAATATGAATTGCCAAAGAAAAAATAATAATATTTATATAGTTTCCTTCAACCGTTTTTTATTTTAAAAAATAAAAAATTACCTGACTCCTTCAAGCCAACCGGGAAAGGGCTCTTTATATGTACTAGTTATAATGGTTGGACGGATGATGACGAGGGGTATGTTTTGTTTGAAGATTCCAATAAGCATTTCTCCCATTGCCTTTGTAAATGCGTAGGTATTTGGCCAACCATACTTTCTTGCTCTGTGAGATTTTAAGAGAAATGTAAGAGGAATTTTATGGAATATGTTAATTGTATCAATCCATAAAGTTTATGCTTTGTGTAAATTATTTATTACTTTGATTGACTAAAGCATCTAAACATTTACACACTAGTTAGAGGATGCATTTTTTTTCCTTCATATTTATGACTTCAAACATATAATAAATATTAAAACTGTAGGTTATTAATAAGAAAGTATCCATCAAAATTTAGGCATAAAAATTGTATTTTGTGAACCTAGTAACTAGGGTTTGAATCACAACATTCACTAAAATGCACAACTTAGAGCATTTTTAAAAGATTCTTTAAATATGAGATGCTATCTATTTTAAAGAATCAATCCTTAAAATCATACTCCAAGAGACTATTTAAATTAGTTTTTAATTTAGAGGGGGGAGTCAAACTCACTCTCTATAATTAAATGCATTCAAAGGAGAAAATAATAAAATAATCTAGAGAAAAGTTAGTTAAAATAAAATATAAAAAATAATAAATATTTTTTTTAGAGTAGTAAAATTAAGTGTTAAATATAAAGAGCTCGTTGGAGTATATTAAAAATTTAACTCTTTAAATTTATAAATGTTCTCAAAAAAAAAAAATACTATTTAAAGATAAAGGATTTCTTAGAGATGCTCTGAAAATATAGCTGTTGGGATTCAATCCAAGTGTATGTAGCCACAAAATGCAACTTTTACCTAATAGAGACTTTCTTTTCAATAATTTAAGATTTAGTTTTCAATATATGTATTATGATATATTTTATATTTTAATTTTTCTATATAACTCAACCCAGTCCTCCATCTCTGAATGATGGTGAGATTTGAACTCATAACTTTTGTCTACTTCATGATACTTAACCGTACTATCTAAACTCTAAACTAATTTAAATTACCAATTAGATGATATACATATTTTTGTTGATATATTCAATAAATCTGTGATGTTCAAAATGATCTTTACTCATAATTAAATTTATGTACACGTGAATAAGCAAGAAGAAAACAAATAAATATTTTTGTGATCAAAGTTGAAAATAATATACAAATAAACCTTTCTAATTTTTAATTAGATGTAACTAAAAAAATAGCATATTTAGACGTGTTTAAAAAACAAAAACAAAATTACATAAAAATTAAGCCCCCTGATTGGTTGGGAACAAAATAATTATTTTAGTAATTTTTGATAAAAATTGATTAAATGTGTGGTTCAAAAATTATTAATCGTTGACTTTAAATTTGATTTAAATTAAAATCTAGATTTTAATGCTTATCAATCAATTATAGGAGCTAAATATATACGTTCTCTAATCAACATACCTTTTGATCAAGCAAAAATTTTACATTTTTTCCCTCTTAATTATCGTAAAAGTTCATACATACTTATCCTGGAACTGAAAAAAGGTATTGTGAAAATTATATGTTTCTGTAGACAAACCTTTGAATTCCCAAATCCTTCATTGCTGAGGTAATCGATTTTGCAGAAACATTCTCAGCATTGAGTTCTTTCAGTCTTTCCTCAATTAGTTGTTTCTCAGCATTTATATCCAGTCCAGATGTTCCATTAAGAGTGTCACCCAGGTTGAAGGGTTTCTCAAGTATGACTCCCTCTCTTTCACCACACACATAAGCTGAAAGAAAACTCCTTAAGTTTAGTCATGATCAAGTATGACTCCCTCTTTTTCACCCCACAAATGGATGATTTGCCATGATCAAGGTGGTTAAAAATTTTCTATTCAAGAGTTAAATAAAAAAGAACTAGTTTTTTGTTATTGATGTTCTTATTCTCAAACAAAATTTGTGGCTGCAATCCATATATTTAACAAATGTAGCACATGATCCTCAAACAAATTTAATTTTCCATATTTAATTTGGGTATCGAAATTTCTTATTTCGTTTTAAATCACTTGCCTATTTAGCACTTGTTTGGTGGAAATTATAATCAAATTATTAGTAAATTCTAATAAAAGTTGAAATGTGTGATTGAAAAGTGGTGAATCCCATGAACTTAACGAAAAAATTAATGGTTTCCATCTAGTGGATGAATCTGCTCTTAAATTGAAAGTTTGGAGATTTGTATATTATAAAAATGTTGAATTGAGAGATCTATGTGCTATACTTGGTAAAGTTTGAAGACCGCAGCATTAAATCTTCATGTTTCATTCATACTATTCTTGAACTTGGGATTGAAAATGAACGACTAAACTAACAACTAAATGACTCAAATTAAGTTCCACTCAGTAATGCATATGTCTATTGAGTATTGAATGCATATTCTGGGGTCCCGTTTGTTTGAAACGGATATTTGATTGACAATGAGTTTCATGTTCCTTTGTCCATGGAAGGTAAACACGTTACTTCATATTATGTCCATGATAGCTCCGGTCTAACTCCTAAACTTATGTTTGATAGCCATTAAAAAGAAAAATTGGAGGAAAATGATGTTTTGAATAATGATTTTTCGGAGAATGTGTAATTAGAAATGAGGAAAATAATTTTGAAATTACGTGTAAAATGTTTAATTAAAAATGAGTATTAGAAATAAAAAGAGTCATTAGTTAAGTTAGAAGTAATTAGTTATTTTCGAACAATAATTTTATATATTTGTAATAGTTTGATTAAAACAAAAAGAGTCACCCTAGTTTTTATTATCATTTACCTATTCTTGAGCTCTTTTATTTCCTAACGCATTCTGCTACACTAACAGAAAATGGATGACATGCACTCTAACAGATCACTCACATTTCAGGTGGGGCCCACTATTTTTGGAAATTCTTTATTTGCACAGGCCCCACACACATGTGAGAGGGTGTCAACATTTCTGTTACCCATTTTTTGTTGTAGTAGTTTAATTCTTTTTTTCATGTGGATAAGGTAAGGTGGTAATTCACTCTTACAATCGTTATACTATGCTCTTTTTTTTCATTTTTTAATGAACAAAACACAAAATAATTCTTGTCAAACCCAACACCGATCAAAGAGCTAGTCTAAAAGTTAAAATATATGAAATAAAATAATATACTAACCAGTTGATACGTGAAGAAGCACCTTCAATTTACCACACGTTTTAGCAAAGTTCAAAACATGCATAGGTCCAAGAGTATTGATCCCCAGTGCAACGTCATATCTGCTTGCGTTTGTTGAATGTAACTTTAATTAAGTAGGTAGAAAATCATTTAAGAGTGATTAGATTTTTTGATTTGGACTATGAGAATTAATTTTTCGTACCTTTCGTCAAACTTAGTAGTTGCAGCTAGATTAATCACAACATCTACCTCTGTGAATATCTCGTGTGACAGATTCAAGTCATTAATTCCCAAGTTTTCACAAGTAACATCACCAGGTACAATTGTAATCTTATCTGATATAAAAGACGTAAAATTTGCTCCACGTTGATCTTTCAGAACCCCAAATAAATCCTTTGAAATAACCTGGGATATGAAAGCAACAATAAATACAGCAGTAAGTAGATCAACGAAAGTACTAGGAGGTTGAGAAAATTCAGCAAAACAAACAAAACCGTGCTTTAATTGCTGAACACCATTACAGCTACCTCATTGTGAGGGGGCCCACAATTAAATAATTCATGTGGCCCCTTCAACATGTGAAGGGGCTGTGGTAGTCATTTATTAACATTTTTTTAAAGCTAAAAGTGGAAACTATTTAAGACATCTGCTTAGAGCAGCGGCGGACACAAACACATGCTCAACCATGCTAGTCCATGTTCGCTCATGAAAATGTCTACTTTTTTCTTTCTTCTTTCTTTTTTAAAGATAAATTCATGTATATTTGTATTGTAGTTCGTATTCAAACTCAAGACTGAATCCGCCACTGGCTTAAAGGATGTTCTAGGCTTATAAATAAGTGAGTTTTAAAAATATGCAGGTTAACTGATTGTAAGTTAGTTACTTTCAACATGCAACTCTTGTCTACCTAGAAGTAAGGGAGGAAAAAAAATGGTAACCTTCAAATATGTTTGATAGTAACAAAAATTTCATAAGAAGTAAGTTTTACACTATACAAATAAATAAATAAAATCTAGCTCATGTTCTAATTTTGCACTGGCAAGTATCCCTTTTAAACCTTAAATAGCACGGTTCACAGTTTCTTGTTATTCGTTTACTCAACTAAATGTGCACTGTAGGAGGCCTCCGACTGAAATTCTTGAATTTGAGGTCATCAACATTTCATTTTTGTAGCTCTAGCATCTAATTTTATTGTGAAAAATTTACATGAAATTGACCTGAAAATTTTCTATATTTGTAAGAGGGTAATTAGCACAAAACATTCTTATCTTTCAATATTATTGTGTAAAACGTTCTTACTTTTCATTTTTTTAATACTTTTATCCTTACCTTCATATTTTATTGCGAAAATCATCATTTTCATCAAATTAATTGTGTAAAATGACAAATATACTCTCTATTTAAATAAAAGAATAAAAAAAGAAAGAAAAGTGAAAAAAAGAAATTGCAATCATACTCCCAATTTTTTTTAAAAGTACAAATGAGTCCAATATTTAATTGGAAGGATAATTAGCAAAAAACATCCATACATTTCATTATTATTGTACAAAACGTCCACACGTTTTATTTTTTGACACTTTCACTCTTATTTCATTGTAAAAATCATTATTTTCATTCATTTTTTCAATAAAAAGAGAATTTTACCTTCCTATTCAAATAAAACGAAAATAAAATAAAATAAAAGATAAAGAACTAATGCAACAATAGTCCCAAAATTTCAAAAAAAAATTACAAATTAATCACAAATATACAATTAAAAATCAAAACTAAAAATAAAAAATAAATCATTCATCATCTTCCCCGAGGAGCTCTCCCGCTTGAAAAGCCTGCAAGTTCTTGACATTTACAACAATGTTATGACGGATGTCATTCCAATTGAATTGTATTTACTCACTAATCTTTGCCATTTACATCTTGGAGTTAATTTCTTCTCGGGTCAGGTCCTGCCAGAGTACGACACATCCCTTAATCTTGAATAACTCGCTGTTTTCGGCAACGAGCTCACTAGAGAGATCCCAAAATAACTCGGGAACCTAACTCGGCTTAAGGAGCTCTATATTGGGTATTACAACAAATTTTCTGGTGATTTACCCAAAGAAATCGATAATTTGTCCAAGTTAATAAGATTTGATGCCGCCAACTGCGCACTTTTCAGTGAGATTTCGACGTAAATTGGGAGGTAATAGAATCTAATAGAATCTATACATACTATTTCTTCAAGTGAATGTTCTTTCTAGGCCCTTGACTACCAATATTAGTGATTTGAAGAACTTGAAATCAATGGATCTGTCGAACAACATCCTTGTCGATAAAATACCGCTGGCATTTGCTGAGCTAAAAAATCTGACTCTCTTAAACTTTTAAGGAGTAAACTCACGGGTCCATACAGGAGTTCATCGGGGAGTATAATTGATTAATGTGATGTTTATATAGTAGACACTAAATGGTCAAATCACAAAATTCACTCTTTAAGAAGCATTAAATGTCCTCCCATAAGAGACTGATTGATTGATATTTAGGAGTGGACGCTTGTTCAACAAATGTGGCCACTTGTCCCCACATCTAACAGTCTCAAATTCACCACTTTCTCTATAAATACTCACACTTATTTTCATTGAAAGGTAATGCAATCCTCTACATTTAAGTATACACCTTGTTTTATTATTTTGAAATTAAAGTGTGTTGTTTCCTTTTTTTTTCTTCATCGTCAACTAATCTGACCGTTGGAGTGTTCATGGCCACCTCTACAACTACTAGAAAATGCCTCGATTGACTAACGGTCTGCTATCATGCGCAAGAAGGCATCTACGTGGAGTATCTACTTGTTGGAAACATTATCCCTACGGAAGTTGAGGTTAATAGAAACATAATCAAGTAGGCATTCCAAAATAATATTAAGATGTATCAATTGTTTTAATAAACCATAGGTCTATTCATTATCATGCCAACATAGAAAAATTCTAACAAATATTTCATTCTTAAGCAAGCAACAACATCTACTCAGTGACTATTTCTGATAAGCCTTCTGTGATTGTACATCCATATTGTCCATTCTTGACACAACATTCCTCCTTTAAGCAATGGCCTTCAGGAATTATGTAATCATCTGATCCCAATGACTTTAAAGCACTCTTACAATTAACTTTTGCACCAAATACTGTTTAGAAAAACACAATATATTTTTTTTTTTTAAATTCAGGCCTGGCTGACTCGTTTGTGCTAATGAGGCATGTGACGGCTTCTCTAAGGGCAGTATGAGCTTTTGATACCTCTTTTGGTCACTCCATTTATTTTAATGTTTATTTGAGAATATGAAGCAACTAAAATTTTGGTTTACTCTATGGGTTCAATTACATCTACCCCAACTATAAGGGGTTAGAAATTAGGCCCTTGTTTGAGCTCCATTTTGGAGGAAAAATACATTTTTGAATAGTCTATTGATGGGAAATGTATAGTTAAAAAATAAGGAAAGTTTTAGATTTGAGGATAATATTATTTTATTAAAAAATGTGTGGTTGAATGATGTCAAAATTCTGTTTAAGATTTTTTTTTCTTCCAGAAAATAGAGCTCAGGCTAGATATTGTCTATCCGAAAAGATTATGCACACTTACATTCCTTTAAAGAAGATGTAGGGACTGAAAAGTTCAACCAATCGCATCAAGAACATGACCTTCCGACGAAGATTACGATAGATATCCCCAAAATATTGACATAGTATTGCATTCACGATATACAGTACCTACACAATAACGAGAGCAAATTCAACACAATGCCTTTGTTATCTTATCTTATACTAAAAAAGTTCATTTTCAAGAAACGTGTGGTGGATAAGAGTGTAGTGTTGTGAATCATGAGAAATGTAAATTAAAATTAAAATCTTATTTTGAAAGTAAATTTTTTTGTAAAAAAATTGAAACAACGGAGGCTATATTGATGTCAATACAGTTCATTTCGATAATCATAAAAATATGTTTGTACAAGATATTAGTAGTGTTCTAAAAAACATAAGCCTTGATTAGACAACATACTAAGTTTCAAGTTTTTTCAAGCCTATTCATCAAATAGCATAAAGTGTGGTTTGACGGCTAGGTCAAAGCTTCACATCTAGGCATGCAACACTGAATATTATACATAATCCAAAAATATTAATGAAGAAAAGTAACTCAAAAACTTGTAAAGTACATTGGTAAAAGCTGTTTAGTCTCTTAAGTTCGGGAGAAATCTGGTTGTTTTCACAAAAAAATATTTCATTTAAAAGAAATTATTGGAGTTCGGCTTTTGTTTGTATTTGATTATATCCAGTTAGGTTTTCGAAGGAATGTGTGATGTTCAACACTTTTAAAGCATCTCTAACATTGAGATGGACTTTCCTAAAAATGTTGTTATGTACGTAAGCTAAAATAAATAATGTTCTTAATAATTTCTTTCCAATGCAACATATCTAGGATTTTATCTAGATGGAAAAAGTAGACATTATCAGAGGACCATGTAAAATATAGAGATTGTTATGAAAATGTTAGTCACCATAGTATAATCTCTTTCTCTCTCTCTCTCATGTTTATTAGTATTTTTTTTTTCTCTTATTAAATATACACTAGAGATGTAATTTGAATTATAGATAGGATTAATTGGAAATGACTTTGAATTAGGTTGTGCTCTTATTAGACATTAACATCATGTAAATCGAAAGTCTTTCTATTTAGTTGTCAACAGACTCCAATCCCTGAAATGCATTGGTGCTCTTATGACGATTATGCATTAGATTATCATCAACCACACCAGACATTCCTTGAAAAAACAAAAGATAGTTTAACGAGTGATCAAAAAATTATTGACTGTTTGGAAACAAAATAAAATTTGACGACCAACGTGAAACTTCATTGTAAGTTGAGAGGCTAATCGCATTTTCAACCCTAAATCATAATGTCTTTTACTATTTAGTACTGTATGTAACAGGCATATCGTACCTTCAAAGGAATCAGGTAACGAATCTTCATGTATCTTTGAAAGATAGCCATGGAACTCAACTGCATAGCCTTGACAACAATGGTTGGCTTTCCATCCTCACCATTCCATGGATTCTTGGTGAAGTAATGGAGTCCAAAATCTTGAAGAGAGCTATAAGAGACGGGGTTAGCCATAGAAGATCCAACATGGTAAATAATGTGAGTATCAGGTTCATCCGCATGAGCCACCGTTGCTGCTATCATAGCATTCACCACCATGTCTGCTGGAATCTGCTTGCAAACAGGTATTGCATTCGAATATTGAACATCGAGAGAGCATTTAACCAAGTCATCTAAAAGTTTAAGTTAATGGAGGGATAAAATTATTTATTTAGTTATTTTTTACAATAAACATGTCTGTGAAACGTGCAAACCTGCTAAAACATTTCGAATTAGTGCTAATATTGATTAGGCTTTTGATTTATTAAAACTAGTTCTACCAAATCTCAACAATATTTAACTCTAATTTAGTTATTTAATATTTATTATCATAATTGATTGATTGGACTTAGTGCACCTTAGGATTTAAGCCTACTTAAAAATCGACGTGGACAACCAAGGAGAAAGAGGAGGATAGTTTTGCCTTATGCATGTGCACATGTTGTCTCGATTCAATTTGAGATTGTTTTGAAGCCTTGAAGAATCTATTATTTGGTCATAGTTCCAATGTTAAAGCATAATTTCAATCTCAATAATTACATGCTTTATAATTCCATCTAGTTTGGATCAAATACACTCTTATAATACTTTCACATTCAGCACGCTCCTTATCTAGACCCTATTCATTTCTGGGTGGTGCTTCATTTATAGGGTACGGGTTCACAGACATCATACCGAACACTCACAACATCGAGAGGGTGGGTGGGAGTTTTTGGTATTTTTTAATATGATGTGGACCCACTTGGTGTGAGTGTTAGTAGGGGTTCTGTTCTGTAAACCCAGCAAAAGTATAAACGATATTTAACATTTATATTTTCAGTCGTGAGAGAATAAGAAAACTATACTAGGAGTATGCTATTGAATCTTTATTTGCAAAAATAAAGAACTAAATAAAATAAAATAAAAGTTACCATCGATACTCACCAAGTCTACTATGCTATGAGGATCTCCAGGAATGCATTTAATCCTTCCTTTACCATATCCAACTACAAAGCTATCAATGTTTCTGTATGTACAAAGAAGACATGGGGACGAAAATATGAATTGCCAAAGAAAAAATAATAATATTTATATAGTTTCCTTCAACCGTTTTTTATTTTAAAAAATAAAAATTACCTGACTCCTTCAAGCCAACCGGGAAAGGGCTCTTTATATGTACTAGTTATAATGGTTGGACGGATGATGACGAGGGGTATGTTTTGTTTGAAGATTCCAATAAGCATTTCTCCCATTGCCTTTGTAAATGCATAGGTATTTGGCCAACCATACTTTCTTGCTCTGTGAGATTTTAAGAGAAATGTAAGAGGAATTTTATGGAATATGTTAATTGTATCAATCCATAAAGTTTATGCTTTGTGTAAATTATTTATTTCTTTGATTGACTAAAGCATCTAAACATTTACACACTAGTTAGAGGATGCATTTTTTTTCCTTCATATTTATGGCTTCAAACATATAATAAATATTAAAACTGTAGGTTATTAATAAGAAAGTATTCATCAAAATTTAGGGGTAAAAATTGTATTTTGTGAACCTAGTTACTAGGGTTTGAATCCCAACATTCACTAAAATGCACAACTTAGAGCATTTTCAAAAGATTCTTTAAGTAAGAGATACTCTCTATTTTAAAGAGTCAACTCTTAAAATCATACTCCAAGAGACTATTTAAATTAGTTTTTAATTTAGAGGGGAGAGTCAAACTCACTCTCTATAATTAAATGCATTCAAAGGAGAAAAATAATAAAATAATTTAGAGAAAAGTTAGTTAAAATAAAATATAAAAAATAATAAATATTTTTTTTAGAGTAGTAAAATTAAGTGTTAAAAATAAAGAGTTCGTTGGAGTATATTAAAAATTTAACTCTTTAAATTTATAAATGTTCTCAAAAAAAAAAAAATACTATTTAAAGATAAAGGATTTCTTAGAGATGCTCTGAAAATATAGCTGTTGGGATTCAATCCAAGTGTATGTAGCCACAAAATGCAACTTTTACCTAATAGAGACTTTCTTTTCAATAATTTAAGATTTAGTTTTCAATATATGTATTATGATATATTTTATATTTTAATTTTTCTATATAACTCAACCCAGTCCTCCATCTCTGAATGATGGTGAGATTTGAACTCATAACTTTTGTCTACTTCATGATACTTAACCGTACTATCTAAACTCTAAACTAATTTAAATTACCAATTAGATGATATACATATTTTTGTTGATATATTCAATAAATCTGTGATGTTCAAAATGATCTTTACTCATAATTAAATTTATGTACACGTGAATAAGCAAGAAGAAAACAAATAAATATTTTTGTGATCAAAGTTGAAAATAATATACAAATAAACCTTTCTAATTTTTAATTAGATGTAACTAAAAAAATAGCATATTTAGACGTGTTTAAAAAACAAAAAAAAAATTACATAAAAATTAAGCCCCCTGATTGGTTGGGATCAAAATAATTATTTTAGTAATTTTTGATAAAAATTGATTAAATGTGTGGTTCAAAAATTATTAATCGTTGGCTTTAAATTTGATTTAAATTAAAATCTAGATTTTAATGCTTATCAATCAATTATAGGAGCTAAATATATACGTTCTCTAATCAACATACCTTTTGATCAAGCAAAAATTTTACATTTTTTCCCTCTTAATTATCGTAAAAGTTCATATATACTTATCCTGGAACTGAAAAAAGGTATTGTGAAAATTATATGTTTCTGTAGACAAACCTTTGAATTCCCAAATCCTTCATTGCTGAGGTAATCGATTTTGCAGAAACATTCTCAGCATTGAGTTCTTTCAGTCTTTCCTCAATTAGTTGTTTCTCAGCATTTATATCCAGTCCAGATGTTCCATTAAGAGTGTCACCCAGGTTGAAGGGTTTCTCAAGTATGACTCCCTCTCTTTCACCACACACATAAGCTGAAAGAAAACTCCTTAAGTTTAGTCATGATCAAGTATGACTCCCTCTTTTTCACCCCACAAATGGATGATTTGCCATGATCAAGGTGGTTAAAAATTTTCTATTCAAGAGTTAAATAAAAAAGAACTAGTTTTTTGTTATTGATGTTCTTATTCTCAAACAAAATTTGTGGCTGCAATCCATATATTTAACAAATGTAGCACATGATCCTCAAACAAATTTAATTTTCCATATTTAATTTGGGTATCGAAATTTCTTATTTCGTTTTAAATCACTTGCCTATTTAGCACTTGTTTGGTGGAAATTATAATCAAATTATTAGTAAATTCTAATAAAAGTTGAAATGTGTGATTGAAAAGTGGTGAATCCCATGAACTTAACGAAAAAATTAATGGTTTCCATCTAGTGGATGAATCTGCTCTTAAATTGAAAGTTTGGAGATTTGTATATTATAAAAATGTTGAATTGAGAGATCTATGTGCTATACTTGGTAAAGTTTGAAGACCGCAGCATTAAATCTTCATGTTTCATTCATACTATTCTTGAACTTGGGATTGAAAATGAACGACTAAACTAACAACTAAATGACTCAAATTAAGTTCCACTCAGTAATGCATATGTCTATTGAGTATTGAATGCATATTCTGGGGTCCCGTTTGTTTGAAACGGATATTTGATTGACAATGAGTTTCATGTTCCTTTGTCCATGGAAGGTAAACACGTTACTTCATATTATGTCCATGATAGCTCCGGTCTAACTCCTAAACTTATGTTTGATAGCCATTAAAAAGAAAAATTGGAGGAAAATGATGTTTTGAATAATGATTTTTCGGAGAATGTGTAATTAGAAATGAGGAAAATAATTTTGAAATTACGTGTAAAATGTTTAATTAAAAATGAGTATTAGAAATAAAAAGAGTCATTAGTTAAGTTAGAAGTAATTAGTTATTTTCGAACAATAATTTTATATATTTGTAATAGTTTGATTAAAACAAAAAGAGTCACCCTAGTTTTTATTATCATTTACCTATTCTTGAGCTCTTTTATTTCCTAACGCATTCTGCTACACTAACAGAAAATGGATGACATGCACTCTAACAGATCACTCACATTTCAGGTGGGGCCCACTATTTTTGGAAATTCTTTATTTGCACAGGCCCCACACACATGTGAGAGGGTGTCAACATTTCTGTTACCCATTTTTTGTTGTAGTAGTTTAATTCTTTTTTTCATGTGGATAAGGTAAGGTGGTAATTCACTCTTACAATCGTTATACTATGCTCTTTTTTTTCATTTTTTAATGAACAAAACACAAAATAATTCTTGTCAAACCCAACACCGATCAAAGAGCTAGTCTAAAAGTTAAAATATATGAAATAAAATAATATACTAACCAGTTGATACGTGAAGAAGCACCTTCAATTTACCACACGTTTTAGCAAAGTTCAAAACATGCATAGGTCCAAGAGTATTGATCCCCAGTGCAACGTCATATCTGCTTGCGTTTGTTGAATGTAACTTTAATTAAGTAGGTAGAAAATCATTTAAGAGTGATTAGATTTTTTGATTTGGACTATGAGAATTAATTTTTCGTACCTTTCGTCAAACTTAGTAGTTGCAGCTAGATTAATCACAACATCTACCTCTGTGAATATCTCGTGTGACAGATTCAAGTCATTAATTCCCAAGTTTTCACAAGTAACATCACCAGGTACAATTGTAATCTTATCTGATATAAAAGACGTAAAATTTGCTCCACGTTGATCTTTCAGAACCCCAAATAAATCCTTTGAAATAACCTGGGATATGAAAGCAACAATAAATACAGCAGTAAGTAGATCAACGAAAGTACTAGGAGGTTGAGAAAATTCAGCAAAACAAACAAAACCGTGCTTTAATTGCTGAACACCATTACAGCTACCTCATTGTGAGGGGGCCCACAATTAAATAATTCATGTGGCCCCTTCAACATGTGAAGGGGCTGTGGTAGTCATTTATTAACATTTTTTTAAAGCTAAAAGTGGAAACTATTTAAGACATCTGCTTAGAGCAGCGGCGGACACAAACACATGCTCAACCATGCTAGTCCATGTTCGCTCATGAAAATGTCTACTTTTTTCTTTCTTCTTTCTTTTTTAAAGATAAATTCATGTATATTTGTATTGTAGTTCGTATTCAAACTCAAGACTGAATCCGCCACTGGCTTAAAGGATGTTCTAGGCTTATAAATAAGTGAGTTTTAAAAATATGCAGGTTAACTGATTGTAAGTTAGTTACTTTCAACATGCAACTCTTGTCTACCTAGAAGTAAGGGAGGAAAAAAAATGGTAACCTTCAAATATGTTTGATAGTAACAAAAATTTCATAAGAAGTAAGTTTTACACTATACAAATAAATAAATAAAATCTAGCTCATGTTCTAATTTTGCACTGGCAAGTATCCCTTTTAAACCTTAAATAGCACGGTTCACAGTTTCTTGTTATTCGTTTACTCAACTAAATGTGCACTGTAGGAGGCCTCCGACTGAAATTCTTGAATTTGAGGTCATCAACATTTCATTTTTGTAGCTCTAGCATCTAATTTTATTGTGAAAAATTTACATGAAATTGACCTGAAAATTTTCTATATTTGTAAGAGGGTAATTAGCACAAAACATTCTTATCTTTCGATATTATTGTGTAAAACGTTCTTACTTTTCATTTTTTTAATACTTTTATCCTTACCTTCATATTTTATTGCGAAAATCATCATTTTCATCAAATTAATTGTGTAAAATGACAAATATACTCTCTATTTAAATAAAAGAATAAAAAAAGAAAGAAAAGTGAAAAAAAGAAATTGCAATCATACTCCCAATTTTTTTTTAAAAGTGCAAATGAGTCCAAATAAATTATTAAAAGGTAATTAGCACAAAATGTTATTACCTTTCATTATTATTTTGTAAAGTGTTTGTACGTTTCATTTTTTGATTTTTTTTTTACCCTTATTTCATATTTCATTAAGAAAATCGTTATTTCCATTAAAAAAAAATAAAAATTACTTTATTTTTTAATTCTTTATTTGAAATTTATTTCTATTTTTTTTAAAATTTTGGAAATATGGTTGCAATTTGTTCTTTATTTTTCCTTTCTTTATTTTTATTTATTTAAAGAGGGGATATATTTGTCATTTTACAGCTTTTAGTTGAGAAAATGAGTGAAAATAGTGATTTTTGTAATTAAATATAAAATAAGAGTGAAAATGTTAAAAAATGAATTGTATGGACGTTTTGTAATAATTACACTTTTAATAATTTATTTGGACTCATTTGCATTTTTTAAAAAGTTTGGAAATATGATTGCAATTTACTCTTTAACTTTTCTTTTCTTTTTATTGTTTTATTTAAATAGGAGGTATATTTGTCATTTTACACGAAAAATTTGATGAAAACGATGATTTCCCAATAAAGGGTGAAGGTAAGGGTAAAAATGAGTTAAAAAAAAAAAAAGAAAAAAAAAAGAAGGTAAGGACGTTTTGCACGTAACAATGAAAGGTATGGATTTTTTGTGCTAATTACCTTTGTAAAATGATAATCATACACAAACAATTAAATCATATATCAAAAGGCAAAAGGAAAAAAATTAGCTTTTTAATTGCTGAAGTGGCCGAAAACAATACTGAGGATGAACTACTACAGAAATGAAAACAAAAAATCTGTAAAAAATAGTTAAAAAATTAACTGAAGTTCGTGATGCCATTGACCTAGATTCAGGTTTTTCTTATTTAGAGGAAGGTGAAATTAAAAAGAAAAAAAAAAAAGAATACAGATATTTGCCTTCTTTGCCTCATAATATAAATAAAGCATTATAACTTTTTCTTTTTAGTATAAGCATGTCTTTCACGAGGTATGTTTTTGAGCATTAAGAGCATTTTTAAGAAATTATCTATTTAAAATTTTTGAAATAAAGAGTGTGTTTGATTTCACACACTTTCTATTTTCACTTATAATGATTGCAGTATAATAAGTTATAAATTTACTACTTTTTAGATTATTCAAATCATATTTGAATTTATTGATCGTTAACATTAAAAAAATATGTTTATAAATGATGAAAAATCAATAAACATTTATTAAAAAATAAAATGAAGAGCTTTTTGGAGTATATAAAGAATTTTACACTCTAAATATAATTATGATTGCTATTATACATAGGATGGCTTTGATAAATACAAAGTTTCTTGAAAATTTTCTTATCTCTTTTTTAATAACATCAGCATAAATAATAAAGAAAATAATTAAAAAGAAAATTAAAGGGAAAACCAAATGTGGCGACCTAGGTTTCACCTACGAAAAGATCACAGCGACTGCTATGCACCATGTTTGCTAGCTAGAACCAAAAAAAAAAAAAAAAAGTGCAAATTAATCAAAAGTTGCGGCACAGAAAATTAAATTGTATTTATGTACCTCATTGTTAAAGCGACTTAATGCTGATTTAGTGTCTCCAGCCCTTAAAAGAAGATAGAGCTTCTTCACATTTGGCTGAACCCTAAGAATCTTCTCAATGTAAACTGCATTATAAATACACAAAATCATGCAACTTTTAAGTCGGGCCAAAGATAATCATGGAGACAAATACATTAGAGAGAGAGAGAGAGAGAGAGAGAGAGAGAGAGAGAGAGTTACTCTTTGCCAGAAAGCCAGTGGCACCAGTGATTAAAATAGTCCTGTTTTTAAGAAACGGGAGAATGCTACTAAACTCCATTTCCCAGGAATGAATGTATGCAGAAGCAAAAGAACGGGCTTATAAATAGAGAATACAAACTACAATCAGTAAGCAGCCGCGCTTACAACTGTTTGTGAAAATCTTTTAGATAAGGACCAAGCTACACCAACATAATGCATGACATGCAGTTTGACAGAAGCACACACGGCTACAGGAGTCGACATTTCTTATTCACAGCGGGACCCACAGCAATTGTGAGAGGAGGTCAGTGCTTCTGTCAAGCATTTTCTGTCACTCCGATTTTATCCTTTAGATAAGGATCAAGCTACACCAACATAATGCATGACATGCGGTTTGACAGAAGCACACACAGCTATATGGGTCGGCATTTTTTATACTGTTATAGCCTATGTTCCAGTTCTTTTTTTTTTTTTTTTCTTTTTTCTAAAGGTTCTTTTTCAAAAAAAGAGTGGATTTTACAAGATGTGACATAAATTTTCTGAGTAAAAAGAAAGCAAAACAGGCCATAGAATAACATTTTTGAGTTGTTATAATTATTGTTATTATTTCCTGAATAGACCTCTCAGTGTGGTGCATTTTAACGAACAAACCTGTAATAGAGATGTACTAAAGTGGGGGAGAACACGGTAAATATTTAAAAAATTACGCTTCATGTGAGAAACAAGATAAATTGAGTAAATTTATACTGGAACTTCAAGTTAGGGATGTCCATAGTTTCGTCACATTCCCAAGCATCATCGATACATATTCTCTTGCTCTCGAAAAGGTTTTATCAAGAATTTTCTAACCCAATTCCACGGTGTTCACATCGTTATCAATTAATTGTTGGTGTTGGGTTTTTGATACCCAATAAATCTCGGGCTATGATGTTAACGTGGGTTAATATTATTTCATAGGCATAGGCCGATGAATGAAATAAGTCCAACAACCAAATCCATGAGCTACACCCGACTCAATTGTATTCCTTATGGATGGCTTGAATCTTGGCCCGTTTACCCCTTTAATGACCCAACATAGAGCCTAACCCTAGAGTATATATTTGACTATAACCCTAGCCACTTTCATATGATGATTGTGTGATTTTGAGAGAAGAAACAAGAGAATCCCGGCTGCCCTCTTTTTGTGTGAGAAAAAAGGTGTCCAGAATGCTGGTATAACGTGTGCAATTGGTGGTTCTTTTATAGTATACCTTTGTGGTGTCTTCTCTTAGCCTTTGTGGCGATAAATCATCATCCCTTCTTGTCCTATGTGGATAAGATTGTATAGCAACCAAGGTGAATCAATTGGTTGTGGTTTGGAGCCGATTGGAGTGGTTGTTGGTTGAGAAAGGTATGTTGGACTGAGCCTGAAAAACCACCGTTTGAAGATCCTTTCGAGAGAGCTTCCGCAACAGTTGGACATAATTTTTATGCAGTTGCTCCAACAAATGCCATAAAACCATCATCCTCGGGTGGCTCAAGAACACCATGTTCTGAAACCTCTTTATTCTTGTCAAATACACTCAAAACTTTTTAGTCAACCCACCAATAATACTACCAAATCTTCCACAACATATTTAAGTTACGAACTAAGCTAGAGTTTGTGGCTCTTGAATTTAATGATTCAATAGTCCTTGTTTTATTGGATGATCGTCCTCACAAAAGGTTGTTTAAACTTTATAAAAGTATAAACTTTCGGACTTGAAAACCTAAATTCTTTTATTACCAAAACACTCCATGTCAAATCACCTAGAAATTATTGAAAACCTAAATTCTTTTATTACCAAAACACTCCATGTCAAATCACCTAGAAATTGTTAAATGCGGAACATACTTTAATTTTTGGGAATGATTCTTTATCTAGATCTTAATTCTGGATCTTGAATCTTGAAACTTGATTTGCAATCTTTTTATATTTGGCTTCTTCACTTTTAATTTTGAATTTTGCCTCATTTGATTCTTCAATTCTTATTCTTGATTTTGCTTCTTGATCCGTAATCTTGATTCTTGATTCGTTCATCTTAATTTTTGATTGTGAATATTGGATTTTCCTGATCAATATGTTTTTTCTTGTATTCTTGTATTGATTGAATAATACAAAAAATAAGAAGTTGCATATGAATTGGGAACCATAATCCTATATATAATTTTCGTATGTGTTTTACTCATCATAATATACAATTTTAAAGGAATTTGGCCTCTATATAAATAATTTGACCCACACTTTATATAGATGCCCTAAGTCCAATAATTTAATTCCTTATTAGATCACTTTTATTTTCGACTTAACATTAAAATAGCCTTATACACAATTAATTAATATGTATACCCACAAGACAAATTAAACTTTTTCCAACAATCTCTCACTCGAGCTACATATGTTACTGATAAATGTGTATAACTTTATGACATCAAAACTTTTGCTATCATAATAAAAAAATCTCCGAACAATCTCGTCTATCAACTATGTTAATATAGGATCAAAGCAATTTTCATTACAAATATTATAACTAAACCATCAATTGTCACGTAGATCAACGCAATCAAATGACATAGATCAAGTGTGAATGAATAGTATAAAAAGTACATGCAGTGTGATCTAAACATGCCTATTGCCAGTTGGACCTACCTTATTCTTTAACGAGTCAATCATAAATTTTAATTAGAGAAGAACTGAACTGAATACTTTATTTTCGAAATAAACCAAATATCCATTGATAGAATTATTGTCTAAAATAGACAACATTCGAATACAAACTCTCACTAAAGTGGTATATCATCAAAAGATGCAACACCCATGTAAGCAATATGCCCATGAAAGACATTGGGTGATGACCCCTTAGTAAGCGGATTCACAATTATAGAGTTTGTCCTAATATATTCTATAGAAACTTGAAACATTCTGAATTATTTCCTTAGTAACTAGAATCTTGATATCTATAAACTTTGACATCATTGAGTTCGTGTTGGAATATAAGACTGCTATTGTCACAAAATAACTAAAATGGTCTTTTAAATCCATCTAAAATATGCAGTCTAGTAACAAAATTTTACAGTCATATTTCATGATCAGAATCAAAATATCAAATGATCTCCAATTTGTCTGATTTTTCTGAATGTGATCATGTAATCCTTAGTTCTTTATAAATGCCAAATAACTTAATTGGCTACTTTTCAAATATCCATTCCAAAGTTACTAAAATGTCTGCCTAGCATCCAAACAATGAATGTCATATCCAGACATATGCAAACATTAGCATCATTAAATTCTCAACTGCTGAAACACGAGAAATTTTCTTTCTTTAAGTTTATCTTTGGGGCATGGCATTAATTGAGACTAAATTTGTCTCCCTTAATAATAGTGGTATCACATAGTTTACATACCTGCATCTCGATTCCTTGAAGAACTTTATTGATAGAGTTCTTTTATAATTGTCCAAATTATCCTAAGAATGATCCCAATGTATTTGTATCCCTGACACAAAGAGGCATCATCGATTCCTTGAAGAACTTTATTGATAGCGTTCTTTTATAATAGTCCAAATTATCCTAAGAATGATCCCAATGTATTTGTATCCCTGACACAAAGAGGCATCACCGACATCTTTCATTTCAAAATTCTATAACATAAATCTCTTGATTTTGTGCAATAAACCTGTATGATTACAGGCAAATAGTGTATCATCAACATACAAAGTTAGTGCGTTCCTTTTGGGTAATATCATTTACTACAAGACGAGTGTTATATCTCTCTACATCATCATTGGAATCCTTCTTGATTTTAAATATCCATATACAACTAATGAGTTTTGCACCTTCAGGCAAAGGGATGAATTCCCAAACGTTATTGTTACTCATGAACTTTATCTTTTTATTCATGACATCAATCCATTTTTAAGAACTATTGATTGAAAGTTGATCAATTAGATCTTCTTCCTCCAATACAATATCATCCTTATTTTCTTGGAGAAAGACTAAAGTCATCAGAAATTGCCTTTCGATTTTATTTAATGGATTCCTTAATGGCAAGGTTGTCAAGTTTGTTTCTTTGAATATTGATCTAACAGTGGGATCTTTAAAAATTGTAACCCTTAACAGTTGCTAACATTTTCCTCAAAGAACCAAACACACCAAAATACTTAGATTTTCCCAAATTACACCCCAACACAACAAGTAAAAGTACAATGATTAAGAATTCACACTCATTGTTTGATAGAAATATACAATGCAATGTTTGAACTTCTAATAAACATTTTGGCAAATGAGTGTCATGGAAGAGACTGAAATACAAAAGAGAAAAGAAAAAGAGAGAGTGGAAAATGCATAAAGATGCATGAAATTTTGTCATAATGAATATTCAAATTTCTAGTTGAATTTAAATTTTATTTACCTTTGGATGAAGTATTCAAGATTCTTCACTTTTGTCCCACTTTCCTATTTCTCAGCTTCCTTCGATCCAACAAAAAATGTAATAGGCAAATCTTGAACTTGAATATGTAATAGTAGTCGAAAAAAGTACTTTCATGCACTTCAAAGACAGAAAACACGACGAGACTAGACGATAATTTTCAGCTCTAGAAAATGAATACAAAGACAATGAGTTGCATGTATGTTCCAATTTATAAAATGCACTTGGAAGACAAAGAAATCAACATAAACATGACCAAAAAAAAGTTTCGAACCTTAGAAGACTAAATCTCGAGGTCACGAGCAAAATAACATATTTGAAAAGTGAATTTCAGAACAAAGACGACAAGCGTAAATCCTGAAGATTTCCAAAGAAAGTAACACAAAATCACATACAACTAAATAACACAATCAAACAGGAATTTTAAGCCAACTAATTGAAAACAAAAAATAGATTCAAACAGAATACATTTTTAAAAACGTTAATTCAAAAAAAAAAAAAAATACAAAACAAAGAACTAAAGGGGGAAAAATGGAAATTAACTTACCTGTTGAAAATCAGTTCCAAAACATTGAAATCTTAGATTAGATATCAAGGAAAAATCTGAAATATAAATATAAAACAAATTAGTTTATAGACAAAATATAGAATGGAAAAAAGAAGAAATGATGAGTGATTTGTGCGGAGAAATTGAGAAGTAAAAAGGTTGTAGCGTGT